TGTATTGACGTCTGAAGTACTTACACTGTCTCTTATACACATCTAGATGTGTATAAGAGACAGATAATAATGTACAATTATATTAGGAAGGAGTAGTGTCTACTGTACATGTTAGGATTGATATTTATACAAGTGTTTACCTTAATAGTCTTCTTCATTGTATTGCTGCCTAGTGTAATTGTACAGATGAGAAATTATTTTTTTTTCTGTTTAAAATTAGGAAGGGATTCTGTTATGTTAGAAATTGTTGTCTATAATATAAATTTATTTCTATTACATTTTGAATAATTGCAGTTCATTTTTGAAAAATTTTACACATCAATAATTTAGATTCCCCCCCCCCCCCAAAAAAAAACCCCAAAAAAAACACTCCTCAATAATTCAATTATTACATTAAATTTCTCATTTAATTATGTTACTGGATTCCACTGACCGACAAGTTGAAACTGTTTAGATGTTTTACTACACAAACCCTTAAATTTATTACTTAGCTAATTTACAGTACAGTATGCAAGGAATATAGAAAAATTATTGTTATTATTATTATTATTATTATTTACGTGTCTTATAACTGACAAAAAATATTTCCTAGTTTCTAATCTTTAATTGAAATCTATAATAACTAGGCTAAGCAAGTGAAATATTGAAGTTTATTGTTCTAGTTTATTACCTTATTCACAGACTTTATATTGATTTTATCTGACAACAGTAGTGACATAAAATATTTATAGTGCCTAAGTATTACATAAAAACATGTTTTAAAAGAATATGATATTGACATTTTTATATATATATTCAACAACAGCAGTATACAGTATTGATTAAAACAGGACGTCTGAAAACGATAGTGAAATAAAATATTTATATACAGGGCTGGAAATTTTGTTTTCCTTCCCTCAAGTTTTATGGTCGGAGGCAAGCATTTTTGTCCTGTGCCTGTTGATATATGTGAATGGCTCTGGCAAAACCAGATGCTTGTCTTTAAAATGGAAATTTTCAAATCAACTAAAATTCCCAAATACTGACCGTCTTAAGACTTGTTGTACTGAAAATATAAATCATCATGTATTCGTCATTCTTACTCTCAATTTTTACATCAATTATTAGCTTTTGACCTTTAGATTACAATAAACTAATAATTCCATTTTTTGAGGGAAGAGCCTTTTTTGTTAGAGTGGGTCACATTAAAGATTATAAATAGAAGAAGATTGAGCAGTTTGTGATATAGTGGAACGTCAGTGAGAGCAATTTCCTCCATCCAAGCGGTGGTGCTATGTCTTAATATCAAGGGCACTTTGTTTTTGTTTTCTGTGGTTTATCCACTCCGTCAAATGGTCAATTATTCACTCCAATTTGTGGGAGGGCGGACGTTCCATCAATTTTAATGCAAATACATAAATAGCTCATTCTTCTGCTATTTAAGTTCTACAGTGCATGCATGCATGCATCTGTTTTAATATATGACATTGATATTGAGGTTTTATATATTCAGTAGTGAGCCATCAAGAACAACAACGAATGCCACACAGGAGCATGGTGAAGAAAGCAGCAACAGTGTCAGTTATTTACAGGTGGATAACACTGTCAGTTTCAAAAAAAGGTAATTGAGAACAAAGAAATGATACATAAAATTGACCTTTCCAGAGTATTGAAAAAACTTAACTGACCAATCATTACAAAGCCAGGAATATTGCTTGTCCCATAAGCACACGTTGTCCCTCATGTTTACGTACGTTTCCAATAGGTGGAGCTTACAAAACTTGCATTGTTTGATATTGTATCTTGTGTTCGTACGTTGTGTTTTTTTTTTTATGTTACAGAATGTATTGAGAAATGTATTGACGTCTGAAGTACTTACATTTCTGGATTTATATAATGTAAAATAAGCTTTTAGATTAAAACAAATTTGTAAATATAGTAAATAGTATATAATGTTTTATTTATAACCATATTTACATGTAAAGTATACATAAATTTGTAAATAAGAGAAAGACATGTATACATTAGCAGGATAAATAATTGGTTATAATATATTTTGTCTAAAATATTAATGTTAAGTTTTAAGTAAAATATTAACAATAGAGAGCTTTATAATTCGTTTCTAGAGATAAGATTACATGTATACACTGACATTTTATGTGCCATTTATATTGTTCCATAAATGAATTTTGATTAGTGTTCTATTTTGTTTTCCTGTACATAAATTGTGTATTACTTGTGAGAATTTTTAAAGGAACCACTGCTTTTTCTTTAGGCAAAGGAATCCTAGTGATAGTGGAGCAGACGACACAGACAACACATTGTGGCTCAACAGACAAACACATCTATCACAGAGTGCTACGAAACACACCCGCATCACACCGTTATCCAAGCCACCATTAACGAGCGCAAGCACTGTGGGTAAACGCAAAATGAGGTAGCGTAACCTGCATCAATCTCCCTTTTTTTTTCCATTTGTGAACTTCATTCTTAAAAAGCCGTTAATCATTCCATGGTGAAATTGAAAGTCGAATGTATTATTAAGTGGAATGTATTTAGTGTCGCACCTCATTTACTTCTCTCCACTTACGTGTGCTACAAATTAAAGGCACTTTAAACTCTTATCTTTAGGAAATAACAAATCGTTACCTAAATTATGCATAAATTCCACACCCACAAAGCACTAATAGGAATCTAGGAATTTGGAAGTAACTAATGAGGAGAATAAAGCTGACATTTAGATTTTCAAGTTCACTTCATCTTGTCAATTAGTGAATGCATGTCAACTGCCAGATTGAATTATTTCAGCTCATGTTAGAAATTATTAGTTAAATTTAGACAACAAACAAGTTATATAATTACTGTAATTCACAAATCTCTATTATTATTTTAACATTTTTTTTTAACAGAATGGCAGTCATTATACAAATTTTGGTTGCTTCAGCATGGGTAATCTGCCATTGACAGGCCTTTTCCGTGATCATCTTGATGTATTTCTTTTACCTCTTGTCTTCAATGTATATATTGTTATTTTTTAATATCATCATACTCTGACTTCTTTTTCATTCTAGATTTTATAATCTGTCCCCTTTCTTTGAAAATTTGAATTCATTTACTAATTAATTTTTTTTTTTTTATGTTCTCAGGGCATTAGGTGCTCCAATGAGAATTAAGAGAGAGTTGGTTTTACCAGATCTTCAAGAGGATGTTAAAGATCCAAACAAGCATTTTTTGCATGGCATTGCTCCCTTGAATGATGTGCCCTTGCGTTCAGATTGTAGCGATGTCACAGACACCTCACTTCACAACACGCTGCCGTCTCTGACATTCAGTATGCTGGGTAAATCTGAGGTAGAGAATAATACAGCAAATCAGCGGAAAAAGACAACTACTTGTAAATTATTTCCAAGCCCTAACAAGAATGTGGCTGATAATCAGTAAGTTAGCAAATACAGTTTAATAATTAGAATTAGAATTTGTTGCAATACATATTTTCAGGGATGTAGTTATGGTAGGCAGAGATAGGTGGGGCCACCCAGCATTGAAGTTTTCAACCCAGTCTAAAGCTAATTTCATGGCCTTTTATCCACCCTTATTAACCCATTTTTCCATCCTTAAAATCAACTCTTATAAAAATTTACCAATGTTATCACCCACCCACCCACCTTTAAAATGTCTGTCACCCAGCCTTAGTTTTCTACAGCTAAACCCCTGAATGTTTTAATTCACTCACATAATAGTAAAACTACAAGTAAAAACCCAGTACTCTGTAAGTGACCCAAGCTCTGATAGTGACCCACCTTAAAAGTTCATCTGTAATAATGACACACAGCTCTAATAGTTGTCGTGGAAAGTCACTATGTATGTGTGGTCAGATGTCAAAAACAGGCATACAGGTAAGTCTAATCAAATGTTTGCAGTTAAGTTTGACAGACTTTGACCTACACTAATTCTAACAGTATAGGACTAGTTCTAGGATAGCTTGATAATATTAAGCTTTCTTTTTTTTTTTTTGCTTCCCAGTCAAGTACCAGAGATGTCACTGGGACATACACGGATGACAAGCGAGTTGCAAAAGCCTTCTGAACCAGTTTCTAATGTTAGTCCCCCAGGAATCGGATCATTACCACATCATTCTGATGCTAGGAAAGCTCAAAGTACCACTGTAGCTCTGGCTATGACTCCAGACTTGAACCCTGTTCCTCCTCCTACCCACGCTGCTCTAGTTATCAGTCCACCCCCAGTTTCATCTATAACCTCAACTATGGTTGCCCCTGCTCTTGCCCCAGTCATTACCCCAGCACCAGTTATTTCCCCTCCTCCAGTAGTTATTGCAGCTCCAGTCCCAGCCCCTGCTGTTGTTCCTACTCCTGTAGTACAAAGCACCCCTCAACCACAAATCACTCAACCTCCAATGCAAGTAAGTCAACTTAAAATAACACTATAATTTATGTTTACAAAAAATTATATTTTAAAAAGTAAATGTTGTGATGTGTTAAGCTGATATAATGTGAACAATAAAATTCCATTTTCTGTATATCTGTGTATATTCTTAGCTTTCAATTTACAGTTAGAATTAAAAAAGTAATTTCCTCTCCATTAAAAAAAAACAACTAATTACGATTTCCTAATCAATTAAAGAGCTTTAGTTAATTAACATAGCTTTGATATATTGTATAATTTTTTTTTTGTGAAAGCTTTTTAAGAAATGGAGTGCCTTCACAAGAAAAGAAGCTGGTCATTTGTATAACCTTTTGCTGTTTCCTATTTTCTGTTGAATTGTATCCTCAATTTTATGTATGTGTGTTATTTGTTACTCTCCTGTGCCTGATAACTTCGCATTTGGCAACTAAATGAGCCAATTGTTTTAATAGCAAAGTTGTTCTTCTCACACTTTGATCAACTTAATAATAATATATGACTTGCAGAAATAATAATGTGAATTATATAAACTAATCACATCGAAAGATTCTAATTTGATGTAATAAAAGTAACAGCGTTAGCTCTAGTTTACTTTATTAAGACAACCTTGACATATTCAAAAGCACAAGGTATATTATTAGAACTTGTTCTCCATTCGACTTCTTGAGATTTAAATGTAATTTATGTGAAATGTAGACAGCGCTGGGCTAGAAATTGATTTTCTGTAAATGACTTTAATTTGTAAAATCTATGACACTTAAAAACAGGTACAATTAGATTGTCCTTGCTTGCTATGAATACTTTATTTTATTTTATTTGCAAATTATGTTTTCTAAATTGTATAAAATTTGTGTGTTTTAGGCGGATCAGAGTAAAAACATGATTTATGTGAATAATAAGCAATACACAATACTGAAACTTATAGGCAAGGGAGGCTCATCGAAGGCAAGTACAGTATATTATATATTTTTTTCCTTCTACTTCTGTAGAATGGAAATGCTTATGTTTTTCCTTAAAATTCTAGATCCAGAATAAAAAAGCTGACTTGTAGTTTTACACATCCAATGACATATTGGTGATGCCGAAGGTCAGGACATAAATGAATTTGTTAACTGTGTTTAGAGTAATTAAATGTCTCAAATATATCATTAAGATCAAGAAATAATAAGAAATGTTGAAAATTTAACAACTTATAAAAATATGGACAATAAGTGTAAGCTTTTGACATTTGACATAGTGCAAATAAAACTACAAAATGGCTTTTTTACCAAATCAATGACAAAGACTTACAGTCCCGCTGACTAATTAGGAGTAGATATGGCTAAGTGATTTAGAGGCTCATCTCCATTCCTTGATTTATTGGGTCAAAGGCATGCTAATTTCAAGCGTGTATTCTCATGTTTGATGTGAATGAATTTGTTAAAGTTACTAGTCGTACATTATGCATCAACTGATACATGAAAAATGGCACAATCCACCTTTCTTTCTAATTATAATAGATTTTATTTGTAACTTGCTCAGATAGTTAATCTTTTGCTTGAAGGAAACTTTGTTGTATAGTTGAAAGGGCCATATGCCGATCTCTGACAGATATTGATGTTATACGAGTATTCATTCATTTTTTATTTTTTAGTAATAATAGGTTATATTAAGGTTGATATTTAAGGATGCGAACATGATGTATTGTTTTTTATATTTCTCGTTTTTTTTTAATAGTTAAGAATGATATCTTAAACATTTTATTTGGGGGTCATATGAGACAAGTGATCTTTGTAATTTGTAATGTTGTATATTTATGCCATAAATTATATTTATATTATGCTATAAATTCTGAGATGTTTGAAACAAAAAGGCAGGCATTTGTGGTCGCATGAATGTAACAACAGGTTTTATTAAGTTTGATATATAGATGTAAAAGTGATATATTATTTTGTATCTTTCCATTTTTATAGTTATAAATGATTTTATTTGGGGTCCTGTGAGACAAAATATGTATTTTTCGTTTGTCTTGTCTTCCTAGTTTTTTTCCCTTCTTTGTAATGTGTAATGTTGTATATTTATTGTTTGGCTTGTATTCCTTTATTTTTAGACTTTATATTGTATATTTTATGTCTATCCTCTAAGTGGCTATTTTTTGCCGATAGGTATATCAAGTATACAGTGCTGACGTGAAGAATGTTTTGGCCATCAAACGTGTTGATCTTGAACTAGCTGATGACCTCACTAAACAGGGCTATATTAATGAGATCACTTTACTGACAAGACTTCAGAAGAAAACAGAAAAGATTATCAAACTGTATGACTTGTAAGTACTGTAGTATATTTGCTAATTAAATGACTTTTTGCATTCAAGCATATCTAAAATATTGAAATAGGGTGATGCAAAATAAATGTAGCATTTTATAATAAAAACACTTTTTATTATATTTTATTGTAAACATTAAACAGTTAAAATTTCTAACAAATATATATATGAATTTGAAGGAAAAAATATAAAAAAATATATTATGTAAAAATAAACATAAATAAGGTAATTTCATCGCTCTAGAAGGACCGAGCCATGATAAATGATTTGTGATAATATTTTAATATTGTTTGCAGGTTTACATAGTAAAGTAATGACATTTGTATTAGCTTTTTCACACCTAGTATCAGCTATTGTTTACTTTTCCACCAATCACCAGCAAGTCTCATATTCCAATCATATAAGTATTTCTCTGTTTGGACTTTCTGTCTGCAGATGTTAATATTATTCTCCTGGTGACAATTAAAGCAACTAATCGAAATGTCAAGACATTTTCAACAAAACAAATGTTCTTTTCAGAACTCTGTCTATGTGGTGTACTGCAAGCATTTAATATAATATTTTATAGCAGAAAAAATATTAGATATGATTTTCTAATGTATGAAAACTTATGTGATGTTATCAGTTTAGGCTGTATTTAAAGTTCCAACATCAGTACATTTTAACGTTTCTTTCTTTTTTTTATGTAGTCAAATAACAGATTCACTTATTGTGATGGTGATGGAATGTGGTAGTATTGACTTGTCAACATTCTTACGCCGAAATAAAAATATCAGGGAGGACAAGATCAGATTCTACTGGCACGAGATGCTGGAAGCTGTCCATGTTATTCATCAAGAAGGTTTGTAGCTGAATCCATTAATCTGATATTTTAGAAATGATTTTAGAGAGTGTTTTAATCATGTTATTGTATCCATTCTCCTCTATGTTGGTGAGTAAATAAATTTTGACACAGGTCATCATGTCATAACATGCAGATGGCTTGAGTACCCACTTCTTCCCCAGTAATATTGCACATTCCACCTATCCTTCACTCTTCAATATCCCTTTATTTGAAAACAGAATCAAGTACTTTCTTCTCTGCAACTTTGGAAAATTGTCCAAATGGTAACTCGCCCCCTGAACCCTTCACTTACATCCTGCCGCCATTGTTCTACATCCCTTTGCTACTCTATTCCTACCTATCGCATGTCAAACTTCTCGTTTTGCTTTATTTTTTCTTCCGTACTCACTGAAATCGCATATTTCATTTTCATTTAATCCATGTCAGATTTGCTCCTCCACTGTCAAACAACGTGACCTTTAATTTTTTTTTGTGGTTCTTCCAATTTTTTATATATCCCACTGAGTTTATCTTTGTGAATTTTGTGAACTTGTGAAATTGTTTTTAGCAGATATTGGCCCACGATGGTTTTCGAAGCAATAAAAGAAATTGAATTTAATTTAATTGCAGTAACCTATCATTATGCATATTATATAGCATTAAACAATAATGAGGTAGGCATATGTTACTTTTTCCTATCATAGACGGGTACAAAATGCCAGAAATTGCCTGCAGATATTTGACATTAAAAGTGTATTTCCTTACAGGTATTGTACACAGTGATCTGAAGCCAGCAAATTTCCTATTTGTGGAGGCTACACTGAAGCTGATTGACTTTGGGATTGCAAATGCCATACAGGTGGACCAGACCAGCGTGTTGAGAGATCAGCAGATTGGCACCCTTAATTACATGTCCCCTGAGGCCATTCAGGACACATCGCCCACTCCTGCAATGGATTCATCTGGTCGAAGAAAACCAAGATTAAAGGTAAATATCTCATTTGAAAGCATGTACTAAATATTGTGTTAGATTGAAAGTACATGGAGTATCTATCATATATTTCCTTGTAAAATATGAAACATGTAATGATGATGATGATGACAATAACGACGGCAGTGATGGCGATGTTAATGGTGGCAGTTGTTGAGTCATGCTGGCTAGTACAGTAGTTTAATGTGATGATGATGATGGATATTGTAGACAGAGAATTAAGATACAGTGCCTTAATCAAGGACCTATGTGTCCTATGACACAGTGTGTGCTGAGCTTTATTATGTAATTACAGTAAAACGTCCATTTTATGAACCTCGATTTTACGAATAGTCAATTTTATAAATGGTCTTTTCCCCAGAAGAAGTCATCATCGACCACTTATTACCGTAAAAAAAGTCTGATTGCTCACATTTTACGAAGTGATAATGTATATTTTTCTTAATAAAATCAAAATTTGTTGTATTTATTTATTAATGGTTCGATCTTTTCTTCCATTTCTGGTATAATAATCACTATATTAATGTAGTAAACATAACCAGAACAACGAACTACCAACACAAGTGTCGTCGGATTAAGCACACATGATGACGAACGAGAGTGTTACTGTTACTGTTACTGTTTTTATTCATCATCATCAATAAATTATTTACATTTCACAAGAGAAAAAAGAAAATTTTGTTTTTTTATTGATAAATGAATGGAGGCCTGTATAGGTCCGGAGACACTTAAGCTCAAGCCACCTAAAAAAAGAAAAAACAATTAATAATTTGAGGCTTTAAAAAGTTTTTTAGTCAGTTGGGGTCAGCAACTTATTGACATCGTGAATGATCGCGAAATGCATGTAAACAACACAATTCGGCTATCTAACAACTAGAAAAAACATGTTAGAAAGGTCCATAAAACATACAGATGTTTGAATAAGAGTTAAAATAATATTTTGCTAAGTGGAAGAATGTCAGCGATTAAAATAATTTGGTTTTTATCGAAGGTAAATTAAATAGGGTATTAAGGGGACACTTTTTTTAGTCGCGAAGGTGTCTCTTTAATAGGGGTTCTACTGTATTTGTAGAAGTCGGCTAAGCTACTCATTAAAATCATATCCTGAGCTTTTGCCCAAGATAAGGCTGGTACGTAAAGTAATGGGTAGGTTTATACCCAAGGCACTATGGTATTGATTACTTGTAAAGTATAGTCCATCAGACGGTGTATTTGGAGATGTCCTGTCTGTCGGTTTAACTAACCTAAGCAGTAAATGCAATGTTTCCATTGCTTCCTTTGTCTGTGTAAGTATGTTAATAGCTTTCAATTGCTTCAGTGTATGTCTTATTGGAAGATGACATATTTGACGCCTTTAAATCTGCCGATTACGTATGGTAAATGAGGAAGAAGTAGATTATGTTCATTTGAATTGTAGAATTCACTATACTTATAGTTTCAAGTTACAATCCCCCATACTCCGTCTGAGTGTGATATATTCAATGATAATGTCTGTTGTAAAATTTAGGAAATTTTTCTAAAAATTGAATCAAAACATTTAATTTTCTTTAAAAAAGAAAAAACACCAAGAATTGCATCTGTGTTTATTATTCTTATATCTTTATTGCCATCAAAGGAAAAGAAAATCAATTACAACCAGTAGCTGAATTGGTGTATTCTTATTACAAAATGTGTTTCAATTTTAAAGTTTATTGTGTATCTCTGATAGATGAGGAAAACATTTTTTAATTTTTAATTTTAGTTGAAAGCTAATAAAGTTAGGTAATATACAAAGTAAGAAATTCATACTTGGCAAAGATTTTAATTTTCAATAAAGGGTTAAACAGTAATATGAGAGCTATAAAATGGTAAAAGAGTAATTCAAATCCAACATTTCATTATGAATTTGCTGAAGTTTAAACATACAGCTGTTTAAAGAATAATATTTGGGAAATCATCCTTCAAAGTTTACGATTTAGAGAATTTCTCAGGCAGAAACCATTACCAAATCGTTAAAAATTGTTGTTTTAAAATCGATTTCAAAAATTTTGACATTGCAGCATGTTTTGGTCATTATCTCTGAAACACGATTTGCGACTGGTTTGGCTTGTCATTGCCACATATATGGAAGATTATTGTTTGGCAGCCTAAACAACAAAAGACATTTGTTAATATGGGACCACAGAAAAGTGGTCTTTAATTGGAGGGGCTTTTAATTTGAGTGAGACACATATTTTCATATGGAGATTTTTAAATAAATGAATTATAAATTCATAAACAAATATTTAAAAAAAACCAAAATATTGTGTAATTTCATGAATTGTTTATTTTTTGTTTGTAGATAAATTGCCAAAGTGATGTTTGGTCATTAGGCTGCATTCTTTACTACATGGTATATGGCAAGACTCCATTCCAACACATCACAAATGGTTTGATGAAGCTACATGCTATTATTGACCCCAGTCATGAAATCAACTTCCCAGCAATTAGCAATAAAGACCTTTATGATGTCCTTCAGGTACGCATCATATTTCCTAATTTTATTTGACAAAAACATGTGACGTGCCTAAACACGTAACCTTTTGTAAATTTTATTCTCATTCAAATTTTTACTCATGAGATGTGTATAAGAGACAGCCACATTGGCTTCATCTGGAGAAATTGCAGGGAAATAAATAGCCCACGCGCCATGGTTACATCATGACCATATAAGTAAATTAAATTTTCGTTTTTGGTCACTGATAATCTTGACCGAGCTTTAAAGCTACTGTCAAACAATGATTATTTGATGGCTCGCTATTAAATAAATCATCCGTCTCTCCCTATCCTGCTGTTCAACGTAATGCAGGGGGTTGAGTGATTTAGGTGTTCTGTATTTGTTGAACACACACTGCGTCCGTCATATGACAGGCTGTCGTAATTAAATTTACATATTTGCTTGTATTAGAAATGTCTGATTCGTAACCCAAAAGAACGTCCGTCCATCGAGACACTTCTGAAGCACCCGTTCCTAAGGAACAAGACACAAGGTAAGCTGTTGCAGGAACCAAGTACAATTTCACTACTTTACATAATGATTATATGTGATTATAACAGTATAAAGATGATGATGGTGAATGTAGCAGCCTCCAGATTATATCCTGGTCAGCTGATCACTTAACTCTCCTTGTGCTCTACCTATGTATGGTATATGCACATAACTTTATGTGTAACGTCAACTAACATGTATTGTAATAATATAATAATCAAGATGTAATGATTAAAAAACCATGTTTCCTCACTAAACAAACACTCCTAACTAGATTCAGGATTCTAAACGATGAGTTATGATAATAACTATGATGCACTTTCAAATATAAATTTGAAATCTGTAAATGCTTATAAGATACAAAATATACAAATATACACACGTTCAAATTTACGTCAATGAATTTTTTTTTTTTTTTAGATGAATTGGCAAGTTCAACGAACTCTGGTATGTGTGACTTTAGCGCAAGTCAACTGCAGGCTCTGATAAGTCAGCTTTCATCAGTCCGGGTGCATTCGCCAAAAAGTTTGAGTGCAATATCAAAGGCAAAGGTATGTCTTTATTATGTTGTCCTGGTCTGTGTTCACATTTGTGGCTAATGCTGTGTTACCCAGTAACATTGCTTGTGGTCAACACTCAAAGTGAAACTAAAGCCGGGGCAATCAATGCGCCGGACGGTCATAGTGATTCTATGCAATTTGATTGAAATATGGGTAGAATCAGAATAGACTGCAAAGACAAGACTGTGGGTAGTAATCACTTGCACAAGGTCTGCATAGTAACTTCAGTGTTAATTGTTATTTAGTTTCATTTGTTATTTGGTATTTACAAAGTGCCATCAGGCTACAAAGTGCTGTGTTTCCCCCTGGTCAAAGGATTTACATGCTTAAATGGCTTGAATGTTGCTGACACATGCTATTAGTTGCTTCCAGTGTTGTTCATGTAATAATCAGTCGAATAAAATGCTTTGTAATCAGATTTTAGGTACATTATTTTCAAGATGTCTGCCAGTAATGTAGGTGTAATGTAAGACCATTACACCTACATTAGTGGGACCGCTATGCTATGATACGTTGCTCCAACGAATAATTACAGTTTACATATACAGGTCTCCCTTCAATTAAAGACCACATTTGGAACCCGGGTAACTATGGTCTTTAGCAGCTTTGGTCTCTAATTAGAATACAGTTGAACTTGCATTAGTCGACTGTGCCTAAGTTGAATAATTTCTAAGTCGATCTTATTTTACATGCCAAATTGTTGTGTTTTCCATCAATTAACAACCTGTAAGTCGAATTTATTTAAGTTGAACAATATTTCAATGGCATTTTGGATTCCACTTAGGCAAGTTCAGCTGTAATAAAGATAAGACATTGGTTAATAAAGTGGTCTTTAATTGGAGGGTCTTTAATCAGAGGGGTCAGAGGTAGACCTGTGTATGACATTACATAAGACTACCCTCTGTAAAGATTCAGTTTATCTTTTCTTTTTGAACAGGGTTTGATCGAACAGCTTACAAAAAAAAGTGGCATTTCTGACACACCTGCAGAGTTAGAACAAGCAGTAAGTTCATCAAATTTTGAAAAAAATCTACTTTATTTTGATTACTTTTGGTAATAATTTATTATTTAATGTCCATCCAATGTTTGATTATTCTTTTGAAGATTTCTGGTAGTCATCCCGCTTCCTTGCCAGTAATAGAAACAGCGCCCTCGATGTCAGCTGGCGTTTTTCCGTTGTCTCAACCTCCAATGAAACAGGCAAAGATGTCTGCTAGACAGCCTCTCCAATCAGTCAACATGGTGGATGTTCAGAAAGTCCAGACCAACTTGAAATCAGGAACATCGACATCCAGTGCAGGACTCAAACACAGACATGAAATAAACGATAAGGTTAATGTTCATATTAATAAATTAAAATATGATAGTAAGTGAAGTAATAACTATGATAATGATGATGGTATCATTTTAATATAGCATACATTTCTAGATGTTTCAAATTATTACAATGACTTACGTTGCCTCCTGTTGTAAGAGGGCGACATTTAATATTATTAAAGTTTAGTAATCTATGCTCCTGGATAGGGACAGATCACATGAATAAAGTTCTTCACCCATGGATGTCAAAATTGAAGTCCTTGTATCAACAATTGTCACATAAAGCAAAATGTTTCAGAAACTATTCTTCATTCACTTAATGAAGATTTTATTTGTGTGTTTTTTTAAAGGAGAATCTTGGCATGAGAGAAAGTATGGTTAATAGTCAATGACGGACTGATGATTGCAACTTACGTAAGTTTATATATTGTTATTGTTTAAATAACAACATTTGTGTTAAAGATGTATCATCCCCTGAAAAATGACAAAAAAGGAACATGTCTTACTTTCACTTACTCACCCCTGCCCTGAAGGCTCAGCATAAAATTCAACTTTTAATTAACTTATGCCTGTTTTGATGTAGCACTGGCATGTGTAACATGAAGGAGGGAGTGGCTACCCAAGGAATATAATTTCACAATTGGAATTCCCATTTGGTCCCTACAAACTCAGTATAATATTGTGTAGATAAATATTTATGATGCTCTATTAAATTACTAATCCTGAAATTAATTACTGATGATCATTTTTGTTTAACTTGACAGATTCTAAGTAGCAGTTGGATAGCTGTTGCTTCTTCAACAACATTGTGATGGTCTTTTACTGAGGTGGTCTGTGATGGCATTGTACAAAAAATTATATTGTAATTTGTGTGTTTTTTAATCACTCTGGAAGTAGCAGTCTAGATTAGTTTTAGCTTTGTCCTCAGTTGTAGGTCTAAAGCCCTATCCAGGAAAACATGTGACATGCCTAAATAAGGTCATGATGACATCACACCATGACCATATATAGGCACATCATGACTATATATAGGCATACAACAGTTTTTTGGTAACCTGCATGGCGTTTTAGTTTTGGGTATCACCTCAGTTGTAGAATAAGATAGTCCTGACATTTGCACCAAAAATTTGTTTGTGCATTCTATTTTATATTTACTTTCACTTACCCTTTTCAAATTTGATTATGCAGATACAGATTTTAATGCTTAAGTTTTATAATATACAGTAATCATGAAACATACTTTTCCGGTTTTTTTTCTGCAAAACAGTATCATTATCTTTTCTTTATAAGTAAATAATAATAATACATTTTATCTTTGGTTTCAGTAAGAAATGTTATTTCAAGCACTTTCTTTTTGTCGCAGTTAAGACATCATTATTAGAAAATTTCATCAAGCAAGTTATATAATAATAAAATAATATCCATAGTTAAAATAGTTTTTTGAGAATAAACAAACATAAATAAATATACATTATTCCATAGATTAATAATTGGTGAATGCTGGTGACAATGAACATAATATAATTAATATAATTAATCGTTTACATGGATTAGCCGTAGTAGCTGTAGGCTATTATGGCTTTGTATATATTTACATACAGTAAACAAACAATGAAATAGGTTTTTGTCAAACCGGTTTTTGCATGTGTACTCCCCGACAGCTTGACATTCCTGTGCTATATTTTCTAGGTACATTTTTAAATGACCAAGGCAGGTTTCGCCCTTCAGAAAGGTTTTATTTCATCCTTTAATGAGATGTTTAGAAAGGGTAATACGGAATGGCATATCAGCCAGTAAAGGGCCAGTGGGAAGAAGGGTCTTGCTACTTTCCTAATTAGCATGAACATTCGCTACTTAATTGTGTACACCATTGTCTGGTACCGTAGGCAAAGAACTAATAGGCCGACTAGCCCAAGATAGTTTTATCAGTGGCGTATCTAGGGTTATTGAAATGAGGGATGCAAAGGTGAAGTTGGGAGCTCGATGATAAAGTGAGGCGGTACTATGTGGCAAAATAAGGTGGTATTAGGTGATTTTTAACTACTATAACATAATTGCTTTGCTTCAAAAAATTCCAGTTGGGTGGGGAAAGGAGGTGCACAAGCTTATTTTGGGAGCCCATTGCACCCACCAGATACGCCACTGACTTTCTTTTGTGAGAGGTGGGTATGAATTCCATCCTAAGACAGTCTAGATCATTCAAATCTACACAAATAAGGCCAGTCCCTTATTGTGACGTACGTACGACAATCAGCTGACAAAACATTCTCTTTTCCCTCTTTGAGCACTTGACAACATAACACCGTATGTTGATTGTTGATAGCAGACTAAGCGAATTGTCATAAAAACGATTTTTTCCGCCCCTTTCTAAGTGTTGCATTCACCACAGAGTTGTGTCGAGGCAGTGTTTGTGGGCATCCGATATGACTAATGGTGGAACTATAGACGCATTTGTACAAACGAGAATAACAAGCCAACAAGGTATACACGCGCATTCCGGTCTGACTTAAACTTGTGATTGCATCGTATGTGACGCAAATGTATCCACTAACTACTGTACTAGGTATGTTGACAGTAGTTAGTAATCTGTATAATTTTGTACATAATATGCATTGTTGTAATGTGAATAAAAGCCGAATATATAACGACCTTCCTGCTTTGTTTTTTTCTTCTGTTTCTTCGAATTATATCATGCGATACAGGTATTAGACGACCTCCTAGTTTCAGAAGATTTTGAAAGATTTTTGTATGTCGAGCGTATAAGACGATCCCCATACTACCTACCTCTGTCCGCACTATAACATTTTCTGTGATAAAATGATCTGTAAAACCTCAAATAGAAGGCCTGGGCCTTTTTTGCGACCTTTGAATGGGCTTCCTTTCGAGACTACTTTTGCAAAGTAAAGAGTGGCTTCTTTTGAAAGTGAATGCTGTAAATTTTGAGAATTCCAACTATAAAAGAGCTTGCTTAAAATATATTACGCAAAGACTCCAAATTTGGAGGAGTATGCAAAAACTCGAAATTGATTACAAGTTTTGCCCTATATATATAGAGAGAATTTGTTGAATTAATAGTACGCAAAAACTCAAATTTGGAGATTGATTAAAAGTTTTAAAACTCCGATTTTGGATTTTTCGCGTGGAATACGCAAAACCTCCGAAATGGGTGGAAAAAACTCCAAAATCGAAGGGTTGATTAAAAGTTTCAAAATTCCGATTTTGGAGCTTTCGCGTATAACACGCAATACCTCTGAAATCGGAGGGTTGATTAAAAGTGTTGCTTGTTTAATCAACAGTATTACTTGTTTAATCAACGCAAAAACTCCAAAATTTTTTGTTGTCTTGGTTCTGCAAACTGCAGATGCTCAATCTTACTTTCGGAAGAAGAAATCATCATGTTAAAGGTAACAGGTAAGCACGAGCAGCGCCATCACTTAGTAATTCATGTATTTGTGTTGATGTTCTAAATAGCAAACTATATTATTATTATTATTACTGTACAATTGTTTATTTATTTATATTTATTTACCCAGGGTAGCCCAAACAGTTAAAACACTGATTTCCATTGGGGCCCTGCATTTAAAGTACATGGTCGTAACCGATTATATTTTCTTAATTAGTGCCTCGTACAATTTGTATTTAAATATGTTTAGAGAAAGTCGCAGTTCTCGAATCAATATCTAATTCATTCCATATATTCGCCCCGGTCACCTTAAAACTCGTGAAATAACTTTCGCTTTTCGAAAAAGCGAAAGACAGTTGACTGTCTCGTTTCACGAGCTTGCATATACGGTGTGAAAAGGTTTGTCATGTATAAAGGTGTTAATCGGTTAATGCATTTATAAACAAGTATTTTTTATACGTAACCCTTTCGGAAAACGAAAGCAAACTGAGTTGTGCAAACATATCTGCAGATGGGTAAGAAAATTACATTTTAAAACTATCGTAGCAGCTCTTTTTGTACATTTGTTAAGTAAGGAATTGTGGGATACGACCTCCCCATACAGTGCAGCAATAGTTAGATGGCCTAACTAAGCTTACAGAGTGTTCAGGCTTCTTTGGGGGACACAATTACCTATTCTACATACCAGTTTGGATGAAACAGCTTTCTTGACGAATTCAACATGTGGTGTCCAACTCAAAGTTTCGTCAATGATGACACCAAGACACTTACATGATTTCGTTCTAACAATTACAGTATGGGCAATGGTTACATTGAAGTCTACATTGGAAATTATTTTCTTTTTGGATCCAACGAGCATGGATTTAGTCATGTTTGAGTTAATTGTAAGTTTGTTTCTAATGGCCCAATCGTTAACTATGTCCAGTGCGACATTTAAATTATTTTCAATATCCTGGACACTGGAGGAGCAACAGGTTAACGTTGAGTTGAGCATACATAAATAGTTTACAGTTTAGAGGGATACAAGGTGACTGATCACTGGAATTAATAACAGTGGTCCCAAAATCGACCCTTGTGGTACGCCAGAGTTTAATGGCAAAGGTTTTGATAATTTCTCTCCAATATTAACAGATTGACTTCGATTGCTTAGGTAAGATGTAAACCACATAATGACAGAAGTAGACATATGCATATGCCTAAGTTTATCTACCATTCATTTCACCACACTCCCTTTCATGAAGATTCATTCGTTAAGTCATGCAATGTTGTTTCAGTTGAATGCAATGGTCTAAACCCCGATTGGCAGCGAGGAATAAGATTATTTTCATTAAGGAATGAATAAACAGCCGAGTGCACCCATCTTTCTAAAATCTTTGAAATAATTGAAAGTATTGAAATGGGCCTATAATTGCTTGTATTGCATTTATCTCATCCTTTGTGAATCGGTGTGAATAATGCATGTTTCCAATCTGAGGGATACTGTTTACATTTAATTGAGAGGTTCAATACGTGCGTTAATGATTTAATAACGTACGGAGACACAAGCTTTAGCATTTTTACACTAACGCCATCCGGACCAGTTGCTTTGCAAAACGACATTGATGTGATTTGTTTTCGAACAAAATTTTCCGTGATATTAGGCAGAGTACATTGCTAATGTACTCTGCCTTATTATATTGTAATGTGTGTAATGGGCATTGTCCATTTCAAGTTCGCGCGTGACGTCGTCACTACTTGCCATACGTCCTCCAATAGTGGAGAAATGCTCATTAAATATATCAGCAATTTCGGCTTGATTTTTTACACTTTTTCCATTTTTGGAAGTGATTGAGTTTGGAACCGATTTCGGTTTATTCGGAAGAGCCTCTTTTAACTTCTTCCACAGCATGGAAGAGTCTCCTTTGTTAGTTTCAATCGCTGATGTGAATTACTCCTTTTTCTTTTTACGGATGCTGTTATTATTATATCATGTTTAATAAAATTATTTGCAAGGCAATAAACAAACAGAAATATAAATGGCATAAGCGTAAAATAAAAAAAATGCCAATGTTTATTTGAAACAGTCATTTTGATCAAAGATCTGTACGTATATACTGTCGGCCTATATAATGATAAATATTTTAAATAATTAATAATAATTATTATTACGTTACTAATAATGATACGGTTATGTTAGTGATAATATTATAGATGATTAATGTTTCAAACCCGATTACCTAATCTGTATAATTCATTAAGTCAGTCCGATGAAAGTTTATATTTTTTTCAACAGTTATTCACCTTTTAAATTTTCTTGAACAAATACGACGGAGGGGCGGGCGGTGAGGTCCCCGACGGGTGGCCGATGCACTGACGAGGGGTCAGATTTCCCCGACGATAGGAAAGTGGGCGTAGTCGAGCTTCGATTAAAATGATTCGAAAGTGGTCCTGGGGGCGAAGCCCCTGAAAATTTTGACAATTTAGGGGTTTCAAAGGCTTATTTAATCGACTTTATAGTCTACTAATATGAAGAAAATACATATAATTTTTTTCCTCCCGACAAATTGTGCTTTTTCCTCCCGACTTGGGGCGGGGGGCAGCTCTCCCCAACCGGGGGGGGGGCCGGTTCCCCTTCCTTCCCCTGCTGGCTCCATCACTGATGATATTCAAAATTAGGTAGGAATTTAACAAAGGGTCCAGTGAGCAAAATGTTCTTTGATGAGTATTTTACATAAGCAAGTATTATACTCAAGATTAGAGTCTTCATTCAGTCCCTTACCGGTATAAAACATCCAGTCTGTTTAAATTTTTTCGTGAACAAATATTTCAAAGTAGGCCTAACTAAACATAAATGAAGGTGATGTATTATTTATTGTACTGTGGCGGCGCCAGCGTCTGAAATTTGGGGGTAGGGGAAGTGAGAGAAAGAAATTATCTTGGTGGGGACAAACGCCCACTGTATGGGCATAATATGCGAAGTCCTAATTTCGCAGCGTTGAGCGAAGTTTCTTAGCTTACATAGTGGAATTTTAATATAACTTTAATTTTACAATAGGCCAATTAGTATCGTATTTGCAGGCTGACGGCATCACTTCAATGTATCAAATCAATCACCTGTTTTATTTAATTTTGCATTGATTCAACTCTCGCCTATCCTCCGAGGTGGAGCAAGTCTTCCCGGATAAGGACAATAAACCGTAGGCCCAGTGTACACAATTCGAGACGAGTAGGGGGTTACCCGGTGTACTGGTCCACTGTACGGCCTTGCCCTTATCCTGTACGAAAGCACACCGACAGGTGTCTGTACTTGAATGAAAGAAGCATAAGAAGGCCACACAACGGTTGAAGCGAGAAACGGAGCAGCTGATCATTCAGGCTGACCCAGACTATAGCACATTTCAATCAGTGGAGGCGCCAGCAAGGGGTGGGGGAAGGGCAGGGGAACTCTCCCTCAGATAATTGTCTTCCCCCTCCCCTAGTTTC